AACGACTTCTCTAAGAAAGTGGAAAGGTACAAAGCGAAGCGAAGTGAACAAACGAAGCGAAGTGGTAGAACGAAGCGAAGTGAAGGAAAGGTGTAATTGAGTCGAGTGGATCAAATTGGGTAAATATAGAAAGGTATTTTGTCACTGATCAGGTGATCTCCGACTCTCACACTACGTAATATCTTTTTCCTTCTTTTATTGGACCATAATATAATAAAAAAACAGAGCCTTGTTGGCAAACTACAATCACCTTGGCCTCTCATCCGCTGGCTTTTCTCGCTTCAATCCCCAGTGGCCTGGTGTAGGCGTCCTGGCTCTTCCTTTCGCTTTGGCTCTCTTCTCCTTCCTTGGGAATTTCTTTTCTTTCTTTTTACGGGTCGTAGCGGCCATGTGTTGCAAAGCATCCTGATTGGATTTTTCCATCTCATACTAGGCTAGGCTTTGTGCCACGCCACTTCGGAAAGTGAAACGAAGCAAAAGCCGACTCTATTTTTCAAGTCCTGTCTTCATAGCCTTCTTTCTTTGTGTCCGCATAACAGGTAAACCCATTCTTCCCAACGGCCTAGTGTCTGCGCGGATTTGGCTTCATCCCATGCCTTTCTAGACGTAGGAGAAGAAAGTCATCGAAGTCCGTTTGGACTTCCCGAAAGAAGGTATACAAAGCCTGAGTTTCGAGACTTTGTCGGATTAAAGACATAGTTTCCCCTCCGTGCCTCTCCTCAAGGATCTCGGTGAGACGCTCAGCCTGGAAGCCACCCGGAACATTGGTGCGCAGAGCCCTACACAGGTCCTGGATGCGATCCGCAATATACGCGTGGTCCGCAAGTAGCTGTTTTACTGATTCAAGAGTATGCTGGTCAACAGGAGTCCGCTCAGGGGGCCCTACCGAGGAAGGCCCGACGTCTTCCCTGGTATATTCCCTTTTGAACTCTTTGACTTCACTTCGCTTCGCTTCTAAAGTTGAGATGTAATTGACCTCTATCCCTTTGAAGACATAGGTTGGCCTATATGTAGATCTGGAACACACTATCTCCTTCCTTCTAGGAGTGTTCAATTGTAGCCCTTACTATTATAGGGCTATCAGGAATAGACCGGTTCGACCGTTCCTTAGGACTAGCTGACTGGTTCATTTCTTTTTATGACTTCACTTCGCTTCGTTCGTTGGGTCGACCCTCGTGGCTCGATCAAATCAAGGGCCATTGTACTGCGTCCAAGATCAGAACGAGCTTGCCGGCGTATTTCGGATGCTCCCAATGCTTGGGTTTTTTACTCCCCTCTCTTTTGTGTGCTCCCGGTGCGACTTCATAAAAAGCAATCAAAGATAAGATTGAAGAGAATGAAAGGCACGTAGTGGTCATTATAGCGCTTCCTTCTGAGCCTAGAAAACGTCCGAAAAAACCTGACGCCCTGCCTTTCGATCTCTCCTCCTAGGGAATTCCCTTGCTTACACGGAACACCAACCCAATCTTGATTTCCAAACTTCCGATGGACTTCGCCTTACGAGCGCTCCCTACCATTTTCCTCCCGTATGCCCCGGTCTGGAGCAAGCCAGTCGTCAACTTGGCTTGCGTATATTCCGAGTTTCGCCCTTTCAGTTAGGGGCTTCGTCTCGGGACTCGAAGTCGGGAGTGCTTAATAAGTCTCTTCGGTGAAAAACAGAACAGACTCGCGCAGAACCATTCTGTTTCAGTTCGCGTAGTCCAGAGCTTCGTAGCCGGTGTAGCTACTGATTTAAACTGTGAAAAGAAAAGCTCGTTCTGTCTTCGTTTCGGTCAGTAAGCTTCGGTGAAGCCTACCGTCCATTCCTACTGTAAAAAGAGAAGATTCGCCTTGTCCGGTTCGATCCAGTGGCAGGGATGTTGGGTACGGTATGGAGCCACGGTTTTGGTCGTAGACCTTATGATCGTCTTAACAGGTCAAAGGCGAGGATGCTAGTTCTAAGTTTTGGTTCTGCGCGTTGAGCTTCCTGTACGGATGCTCGAGTTCGCAGAGGAAAAGCTGCTAGCGTGTTCTTTACCACTTCCACTTGCTGCAAACTCGCTTCTGGGAAGAGTATTAGGTCGTCTGCGAATAGGAGATGCGAAAGAGGAGAGAAACGAACGAAGCGAAGTGAAGTCTCATAAAAAAGGTGATTGTAGTCTGAGAAATGTCCAGTAGTTTAGGGATCTTGAGGATCGATATCAGTGAAATTACTATTTGTTTTGGGCTAGAAGGCTCCGAGGAATCCCTAGTAGCCGGCAGCTGCGGATTGAAACCAAACCCCCTGCCAATTTCCCTTTGTTTTGTTATTTTTAGTGAAAGTGCCCCATTTTAGCTCCTCGTTTTAGTTCCTCATTTGCGTGAGGAGTGCGGAATTGGCACTCAATAGGCTTCGGTGCTGTACACGGAACACTGACCCTATCTCTTCTTTATGTTTGCAAGTAGGAGTTCGAAACTGACTCCCTTTTGCTCCCGTAAGGAGAGAAATTCACTATGTTTCGGTTTTAAAAACAATAAGAAAAGTTAGGAAAGTGCTCTTAGTACGGCTCAGGAGCTGGTTACCAAGTTCGGCCAAAAGCGGGCTCGGAAGTGCGCTCTGTCCTGTCTCAGAAAGGCATTGTTATCACCAGGCGAGTGGCACGCACGTGCCTGTCGTGTTAAGTCTCGGACCAAGTTAAGTAAGGAGCTCATTTGTACCAGAGAATTTGAGGAATACTTGTACTTTCTTTCGTCAGGTGTGAATGCCCCATCTATTGATACTTAACTTACAAGGGCTGCTGCTTCTGCACCAGGATTGTGAGATCCCCTGTTCGAACGATCCTCTTCTGCGGCGGTGGAAGTCTCTAGGCTTATACGGAACACTTTCCTAATCTCGAAAACGAAATTGCAAGTACAGACATAAAGTAACTTGCCGCTCGAGTCCTGCCCAGCAAAACTCCTGTTTAGGCATCTTCATAGCAAATTTGGCGCAAGGGATTACTATAGCGCGTTAGACCGGGCAGAAGATGGGGTT